GCCATCAAGAGCAGACTTCTGCTCTTATTGTTAATCGGACAAGAAGATCTCCCCTTGAATTAAGTATATGTCGAGATAACCACTTTAGCAACTGTCAGCGAAAAACTTTATTGGTGGAAGTTACCATATGGAAGCAATTAGACTGTGGCCCTTCATACCCTCAGTAGCTGCTGTGAAAATAATAGTAGACAGGAAATAAAAAGCAAACATTGTGATTTCAGCCACAGCCTCAGCTTAACTGAGTTCAATGCCGATGCGGTTCACCAGATGAATCCCGTTGACAGGTGATTGCTGATGGCACTGATCGACAGAACTAGATGAGAGAGAGAGGCGAAATGAAGGACATGCATGGTGAGATGGTGAACGCGTTAGCCCCCGGAAAGGATAATTGCGCGCTCGTTCCTTATGGCAGACAACTGTGATCTGGAGTTTTGCGAATATCTCAGCATTTCATACGAGTTATATTTCGCAACATACCCTGCCATTAAGAAGAAAAAGGCAGTAAATAAAAGGGTTAAGATTATCTCAGCATCGCTGTGGTTGCATTTCACATAATTCCCTGCCGTGAAAATTATAGTGGGCAGAAAATAAGAGCAAATATTATGCTTAGACATTTGCGAAACTATTACCCCATGCCAAATTCCCATTTAAATGCCGATTTGTGCTCCCCAGATCATTCCCATTGATTGTCGGTGGCACTGTTAGCATGAAAAACTGGCTGAGAGAAAGACACAGCAAATGTTTCATTGGAGGAGTTGGTGAAACGTCACTCTCGGAAAGGGTACCCAAGGGGTCGAACCTAGTCTAGGGCTGGATTTCTGCAAGTATCTAGGTATCATTGTGGCTACATTTCGCACAATGGCCTTTCATTAAAAAAAATAGCGGACAGTGAGTTAAAAGTTATTCATTGACAGAAGTATATCTCACGAGCTCAAAAAATTCAGAAATTCGCGACAAGGCAGTAAACCGAGCACCTTGGCACCTCACAAGAAAGGAGCTATAGATCTTAGAAATTTTTATTGCAATTAGTAAAACTCCCAATGAGCTGAAATGGAAAGGATAAAATAAAGAATGAACCCCACTGCGTTGATCAATCCCTGAGTCGTGCTCTGTGCATCCGACTTCATTAAACATCGTTGGAGTCGAATGCATACGTAGCCGTTACAATGACTCGCGCTGGGCCACCGATGTATCGATCCAGTGTTGCTATCCTCCCAGAGAAGTCTGGTACCAATTTGCCGAGCCCGGAGATATGGAAGACTTATCGGCCAAGGGCGTGGGGATCGATTCCACGTGTGTGTCACAGTGGCGCCTCCAACCACTGCGCTCCTAAGCTGAGATGTGATAATTTAGATTTGAATGAGGCCATTTTCGTATTGTCCTCCAATTATAGAGATGACGTCGTCACGTAAGTGTTACGAAAAAAACTCGTCAAAATCTGGGAACTGGGATAAAAACTTGTTAAGAATATTATTAAATGATTGTAAGAACACAGTAACTTTCGTGTGAATTAGTGGCTACTAAAATTTTCCGCTTATTTTAACTACTGCAGATTTTCCAGGTATTATTTGCATAGTTTCTGCATAATATTTGGTTGTCTCATTTCTCTAGAATGAAATACAAATTTTATAGCGTTACCGTAACAATGTCGTCATTTTTATCCCAGGATTCAGGTTTCCCATACCTTTATTTTATCTGTGTGGTCTGTAATCACACAGTTTGTCAAGTTGCTCGAATGGGCAGCATTGAAGACTACACATGGGTTTCTGTCATCGATCAGATCTAGTGGGCTTCGTTCGCTCAAGGGCTACCGAGAGCACCGTGCATTTTTTAAAAATTCGTCAAGATCTTTCGTAACTTGTCATTATGTTCAAAAAGTGCTTACCAGGATGCTCGTAGACTTATTTAAGCATCTAGACGTCTCTTTTTATGTGTCCTAAATATTCTAAAAATATTCTAATGCATCATTTGTGTCGGAAAATTCAGAACGTCTTCGATCTTAAGCTGGATAGACCAGACTTCCTTGGGTCATCATCATAGACTGTCTTCACATTTGTGAGTTAGCAGAGTCAGTTACCGCCATCTGTTATGAACAGCGCATAACAAGTAAGTGCTTAAGGATTCTGGTAATGATGACTGGTTTCTGTGTCGGCTTTCTATCTCCCAAGAACTCGGATTTTTTCTACCAGATGAATGAATTGCTGCGTGTAACTAATCGATAGCAGCGGTTATAGATTTCTTGCAATATACAAATGGTCGTTGGTTGGACCTGCGCGTTGGACTCACTAAGCTTTCGTTCTCTCTGGGATAGAAAAATTAGTGTTAGACCTGTCTGGGAAGACAGCAGTACCGACTCAAAACAGCGGTAGAGCTCTGTAAGTTATGGTAAAAGATATATTAATACGCAGATATGCAGGGATATACGAATATATTCAATCACTTCTGACGATTCTCGATGAAATCTAATACAAGACACAACCTTCAGGGATTGATCAGCACCGAGAGCTTTGTACCTTATCCTTTTTATCGTTAGTCTTCTACCTTCGCTATTAGAGCTTCGTTCAGTGTCGCAATCCATAATGCTGTGAGCGCTGCATCGTCGGAAATCGCAACACTATTCGACAAGGATACGTAACGTGGCGGTACTCGGTGATCATGACGTTCACGTAAACAAAAATGAAGGCTGTTCTGGTTTATTGAGACTATTCGTTTGTGATAGTTGCTGTTATGATACTGAAATCGCTTCGAAACCGACTTTCCCTGAACCTCGGTATCACTAAATACATACTGAAATCGTTTCGTCAAGTATGTTTCATTTCTGATTTGTCTTTACTCTTCTACTCACTGAACAATTTGTTAAATGGCAACTCGTAGGTTTATTAGGCATCGAACTAGTTATAAAACCTTTCCACATATACTAAGGCTTTTTGTGATTTTGTTTTGCTCATTTCTAATAGTTCTCAAAGCTCTTTTAATATGTGTTCGGAACTGTGAACATCAATTTTCTTGTTACATAGCCACATCTTATCGTCAAGAAACGAAGCTTAGAGTCTTTAAAAACTTATGAGAACTCAGTAAGATAAGGAAGCATGGGAGAAATAATTTAAATACAGTGTTGACACTTTTGCATATTGAACTTCATTTAAACTCGGTATTACGTAATGATCAATATGCTGCTGCGCTGATAAGGTGGTAACTTAAGGTTGATAAAAATTTTAATCGGCTAACGTTTAGGCCCAATTGTCTTTTTCAGAAAAGGAACGATCTGAGCCAGTTGTCCACAACCGTTCATTCATGCTATACGAGTCTTCGTATTTGAATCGAATCGAATCTAGTGGCGTGTATTTCAGTTAGTTCAATGCACAATGCTTCTCTTCGTAGGATTTCTCAAGCGGAACCCTTTCATTGCCAGCTGCACAAGGTGTACGTTGCTTAGCCGGTCAATTTTCTCGCGTATGGCGCAGTGGTTGGAGTCGGCCTGCAACACACATATGGTATCGATCCTCGTGCCCATGCCTCACCAAGCCTTCCATCCCTCTGGGGTCGGCAAATTGCTACCAAACTTGTCTCGGAGCATAGCAGCACTGGCTCGATACATCGGTAGGCCATTGCGAGTCATTGCACAGGCCTGATATGCATTCAATCACCTCCAAACGATGCTTAATGAAGTTGAATGCATGACACATTCCACAAGTTGATCAACTTCAATAGCCTTTTTCTTTTTATCTCTTATATATTCAATACACAAGCACAACATCTTACTTACTTGACACTTGAATGGCCCGTCCTCACTGGTTGCGCGGGCCCCAGCATAATCTCCATTTTTCGGAGATTTGCTGGTTAAGCCATTATGGTTCCTGGACTCCCGAGGTCAGCCTGGCCAAAATCTGCCACAGGTCTTCACCACTACGGGCAATAGCAGCCTTGGTGGTTCAGAGAAAGATTTACCGCCATGCGACTTTGATACCAGGACGGTGGTGGATTGGTTTACACTTAGCTAGGCTTCCTGATGGAATCGCCGGACTCCTTCTCAGCTTGGGAGACCTTGCCAGGGGATGAATCCTCCGCTGTACATCTCAGTCCGACACCCAGGAACACCTCCTAGCGGCGATGAGGCGGTAAACCGTTGGAAGGCTTTCCAAGCATTCGACGTGGGTTCAATTCTCCACAAACAAGCACACATACCCTGTGTAATAAGGTTAACATTGTAAAACCTATGTGTACTAATAAGAGTAGCTCCAATAAGTGATTATTGGAACCGTAATGCATGTAGTTTGCTATACTGACTGTTATGGGTTATGCCCATCTGAATTTGATTAGACAAAATGAAAAAGCAAGAAGTAGATGACGACTACAAGAACAGTATCCAGCCGAGTAGAATGTTGACTCGATTGCTGTCCATATTCATGAGTAGGTAGACGTAGTGGCGGTTTAGTTTCCGAGTTTCCATTATCTGATCGATAGAGCTTATTCATCGAACGTAAGCATATTTTATAAAAAAAGACATTTCTCACGAAATCTGTTATGATCACAATACGGTATGCGTGAGAACGCGCATTGAGCAAGACAACATACAAACAGAAAGGCAGCTCACACGGAAAGCTTATGTGTTAGTAGTAAAAGAATTATAGAGAATAATGTTAATCAGTCAAAGGCTCTCACCCATACAAAGAAACTTCGTCTGATGAGAATAGGAAGTTTATTCGAAAAATAGTCAAACAATGCAGAGGTAGAATGAGTTAGAAGAGAATACTCTCTATCAGTCAAAGGGTAGTCTCCAAACTGAAGCACCGCCCTCTCGGATAAAGTAAGCTAACAGCGGAATAAAGTTTTCATCAAGCTCATCTTATCTCATCAGCAAGGGATAGAGTGATCGTGCTGCCGACACTGCTTCTAGTTCAACCGTCCTCTCATTCGAACATGATATTATCAACTTCTTATGATTTTCAATTGCTTGTTATAATTTTTGATAATACTTTTGTCGAACGAACTGATACTTTATGGTGACTTCAATTTCAGCGATAGTCGTCAGCGGTTTACCAACGCTGAATGTCAGCGACGTCATAGCCAATTGGAAAATCGAGCAAAAAATCGGCGAAGGTGGTTTCGGTGCAGTGTTCAAGGTCGGTGTCAAAGAGTATCGGGACGGGTTACATCAAGATTCTCCTTGGGTCCACTTTTGTTCTTCTTTTGCTATCTTCTATTGATTGAAGTTAGATAGCAATGCTCCTTAGGTTGCGATCATTGAGTCTACACTTAGGTTGGATTTATGGCCCAAAAATCATTGCATTCCTTGAAAATTTCTGCTATAGCATTTCACACAGCAAAATGCATTTCTAGCAAAAAAGTGTAAAAACAATGGCATAGGTGCTTTTCGAACACTGATTCTAATGTCGATAGCTAAAGAAGGTGAAATTGATCTCTATAAATCGGTGATAGAGGTTTTGGATCTCTCCTGGAAAAGAAGAGACCGGAGGTCATGTAAGATGTGGTCTTGGCGGGACGAGTCACGGTTATATACTAGAAAGTTTTTGTGACTTAGAATTGTTATATATGAAGAATTTACCTTTGCTCAATCCGTTAAAGATGCATCATGATGTGTTCGATCCTATGGCAAAATGTGTATTTCATAGTACATATGCCCATTGAACCACACACGTTCCCCTTATATATAGCTATACTGCATGAGATAGTTCAATGTTGGATTGTTCTCTTCTGTTGACCAGCCTAAATTCATACTGTGAGTATTGCAGGGCGAATCTCGAGCTTTGGTAGTTAAACCTTTATATTTAAACATTATAACAGCAGCAACATAAAGGTAACAATGTATAGCGTGTATAAATGAATTTAAGAGAAATTTCCATTGACATACCATTGACATTGACATAGACATACCATTGACAAAGGGCGACGAGCTAGAACAGATAAGGTTAACCTAGTCCACGCTTACGAAAGAAGTAATGAGCGGATAGAATGATATTGACCTGATTGCAGTGAGGATGGTTGTTTTTTGGCCAGGGTTTTTTAATGTGTTTAGGTAATGATCTAAAAGAACATTACCTACTTGGATACTTGGACGGTCCGTCTTTACGAGGTGTGCGGAACACAGCACCTATGCCATTCGTTCCCTTCTCTCGCAATCATAGTTCATGGTGGTGGTCTTGTTCGAGCATGGTAGCGCTTGCGAGTCTCATACGGTGACCTGTAAAACAGCTGCAGATGCGGGTACAGCTGATTAACTTTGTTTACGAACACGACCGCCCAACGTGTAGGTGGTCGTCCAAGGGTACGTTTGCATTCTCTTGGAGTCCACTCTACCTTTCTTTTCGTCCACCTATCGTCTGTCCTTCTAATTATGTGACCTTCTCATCTATGTTTCTCTATCGATGTGTATTCTACTGCTTCTCGAGGATGTGACAGATTTCGAAGGTCAGAGCTTCAAATTCCGGCTACATATTGAGAGTGCCGGTTATATTTCAAAAGACATCGCTCAAGCGCTCTATGAGTACTGCGAAACATAATTGACGTAGTTGAAGTATCAACCCACGTCTCTGCAGCATAACAGAGCGCTGGGTGGACCGTAGAATCAAAGAGATGAGCGCAGATTTTCTGGTCCTTCAGTTGGTCGGTGGCTTCTTTGAAAGGCCCGAATGCGGCTCAAGATGTTCTCCTTCTTCTATCTAGTACCTCCTTCATGTTGTTTTCTATGTTCATTGACCACCCAAGGTAAACGTGCAAGGTGGTCTCTGCAATGAGAGAGCCATCCAATTCAATTTTTTCGCCTTCTAACCCTGCGTTTTCATGAACTGGGTCTTTTTTCGACTTATGCGAAGACCGATCTTTTCCCCGCTTCGTTGAGCTCGTTGATCATCAACTCTGCTTCGCTAGTACTTCTTGAGAAGATGACAACGTCGTCGGCAAAACGAAGGTTTGATAGGAATTTTCCTTCAATACGTATGCCTTTCTCATTCCAATCGAGTGACTTCTTCAGAGCCTGGAGGAAGGGTATACTGAAATACAATCTACTAGGCCAAACGCTTCAATAACACTTACAGAAAGACGAAAAACCCTATGGCAATTACATGATCAAGAGCTTCTCGAAAAGCCCACCGCTTTTTTCGCGACTTCCAACGAGGAAGATTAGAACATGCTTATTTGCTTATGCTTAAATCTGCTTGTTTCGGTTTGTTGTCCGAAGAAAACAGGTCATGCATGACTGCAATCGAGACCTGCCATTATTGTGGGCCATTGCTCAGAATCATCTTCTTCATTTTACTTTTTGTTGAAGATTGAGGTTTCATTTCAGGTTTCTGACACCACTTCAGCTACATATGCCACCTATGCGCTGAAAAGTGAACCAGTTCACTGTCCGACAAAAGTGCTCAAGATGGAAGTTGTTGTTTTAAGGTATGAACTTTATTGAGGTATAAATTTTGATGAAATGTATATGGGAAAACGAGCTGCTCGCATTGGGCCCCTCATACGATACATATTTATTGTGAACTACGAGCCTATACAAAGCTAATATAAGCAAATATTTTACGTGAGCTACTTTATTTTAACCATGGGACTGGTTTCTAACTTTGCTTTATTCTCTACAAGTTGATTTAATGCTGTCATAAGATAGCTATTTGAGATGTAATTTTAAACGACTTTTCTGCATACTTCGAATCTGGTGGAGTTCTCCGTATTCCCGCCATCCACTCATGAATTCGCCTAGTTCCGAAGACTTACAGAAAAAAAATGAGCTCCATTCTTCCAAGACAATCATCTCCAGAATGAAAAAAATGGATTGGACCGATCAAACAACTGATCATTTGCTCAAGAATGTCGCTTAAGTGCGTCACATGGCTTGGAAAGCGTTCAGCACAGTGATTAGAGATGCCGTGATATATGAAAGCAAGGATTCCAGCTTGACTTCGCCAAATACCAATCTGACATGACATCCTTAGCGGTCAAAAAATCTGTGTTTAACTTGGTTGGAAGCAGTTCTGTTCTATTTGCGAGTGTGGCCACGACAGCCTCTGGTAAAGACTGGAAGCCCTGTAGAGGAGCTATTCCGTGCTTTTCTATCAGAATTCAAGAACACTCACTATGAAAAAGAAAACCTAAAAAAAAAGAATTTATGCGCAAAGTGCGAATACCTGTGTATGCATACGAGGGAAAGGAATCGAGTGAAAGAGTGCAGTGCAGTGATCTGTACTATTTGTAAAGATAGTTCTGATAAAGGGCAAGTGATGAGACGTAAGGCGTCGATCAATATCCAATAGATGTATTATGCATTCGATGCAACCAAGGATCGCAGAGGTAGTCGAATGCACATTTGGCTTATACGGTTTTCTCGGTAGCCTTCAAATCAGTGGTTCTATTCTCACAGAGAAGTAAGTTCCAATGTTACCATTCTTGAAGCTCGGACGTTCGGCGTGGTGGGTCGAAGCAACGACTCTTTGCCCACTGCAGGAACCCTCTATCTGAAAATCTATATCTACTTTTGAAGACAAGTTACCGAATCCAAAAAAATTGATGAGTCGTATTTGTAATGATACTCCGCCAACATTTCTAAAAATCAAAGTCGTTTTTCCTCTCTTCCAATAAATATTTCACCATAGAAAATAGCAAAGGTAAAGGTTCATTACTAGGTGAAAATAGTCCAATTTAATACGAGAACACAATACTTAGGGTTTGTTACCGAATGTACCGTAGTCGGCTGCGGTAGTGTCTAATGCTTCGACATGTAAATCATTTGCTTTTTTTTTCGCAGGGCATTGCAAAAGGCTCACGCCACTCATTGTTGCAATATACTCGATTCTGGTCGAGCGCTTGGCTTCAACTTCATTGTCATGACGCTCGTTGGTTCCTCTCTCTATGTCTGTTTTTAACTTTTTCTTTAGTATTTTTTTTTATTATACCAAGCATTAGTAACGAGGAATTTTTCCGCAAATGCAAAGCGAAGAAGCCGTTCAAAAAACTCGTTACCACTCTTTTGTAGGAGCTTCGTAAGAGTAATAAGTTAAAGGAAAATTGCTTCACTATGGGATGCGCTTTATCGATCGGAATTCAGACTTTAGAAGCCGTTCAAGAGCTGCACAACGTTGGGTACCGTAAACTTGCTCATTTTTATCAGTTTGGAGAGAACTCTATTGAATTTATCGTATTAATTAACCTACTGACGATTAATCTGAGAAAGTTTGGTTCATTAAAGTTTTTAAAGTCGAGTTTATTTCTCGAAATAATACGGTTTCAATGCATTACCATCCTTTGGAAATTCTCAAGAAGTTCTTTATTGCTAGGCGATGACAATGTTCAAACATGGAAATGTAAAGACATATGTTAACCTTTTGGGCGCGTGTGCCGCAGTGGTTCGAGGCGCCGCTACGACACACACGTGAAATCGATCCCCGCGCCCATGGCCCACCAAACCTTCCATCCCTTAGGGGTCGGCAAATTGGTACCAAACTTGTCTAGGAGGATATCAGCACTGGCTCGATACATCGGTAGGCCACTGTGAGTCATTATAAAGGCCAGATATGCATTCAATCACCTCCAACGATGCTTAATGAGGTCGAATGCATGGCGCATCCATTAGTGATTGATCAGCGGCGAGAGCTTTATCCTTTTCTACGTTAACTTTTTGTTTTTCGCTTATTACAGTTTTAAGGGCTGGGTATTATGTGTGATACAACCACAATGATGCTGAGATATTTGCAAAATTCCGAGTCGCAGGTTTCTGCGGTGGGGAACGAAGGCGCTGTTCACCGTTTCAGGGGACTAACGCGTTCCCCACCACACCATGCGACCATACGGGTCCTTTGCTTCACCTGTCTCTCAGCTAGTTTTCTATCGATCAGTGCCATCAACAATGACTTTTCAACGGGGTTGATCTAGAGAGGCCAAAACGGCAACGAACCCAGTTAAGATGAGGCTATGGTGCCGGAGTTTTGCAAATATCTCATCACCATTATGGTTGCATCATACATAATCCTCTGTCATGAAAAATTGTAGTAGGCCGTAAGTGTAAACTTAGTATTGTGATTTCGACTATTCAGGCTCTTCATATCAATCCCATTGAAAGGTGATTGCTGCTGGACCTGATCGTTAGAAAGCTAGCTGAGAGACAGGCGAAACCAAGGGCCCACATGGTGTGGTGGTGAAGGTGTTAGCCACCGCAAAGGGTAATAGCGCGTTCCGCACCGCAGACGCCCGCGATCCGGAGTTTCGCAAATATCTCAGCATAATTATGGTTGTAGAGATCTATGTCACGTTTACTAAAACCTCTTAATAAAAAGAAAGGGCTAAATCCTGAAAAGCAAGAGAGGACGAAACTGGATGCGGATAGCACTTTGGAAATCTGCTTACCCTTGATCACCTTGAAACAAAGCATTCTTGTTCTTGAGGTTTTTTTTAGCATTTAATCTGATCTGACAGTTATTCATCTCATAAGAAAGATACCGCATCTGTTACTTAGGCCCGTTGCAATATCTACTAGACTTTGTCGTTTTGAAAAAGAAGTTCTATGGACATTACTAATCATTTGGATAGCTCTTAATCATGAGGGCAAAAAACTAAGAAAATATCCGATTGCAGTTATCTCCACAGAGATCTAAAGCCGGCGAATTTTGCCATAAAGATCGAGGACGTTCGACAAATCCTCGTGTTGGATTTCGGAATGTGTCGACGTTACATCGACGATCAGAACGTTGTACGGAAGCCTCGATGGTCGTCTGGATTTCGAGGGACGCAGCGGTAATACAGACGGCTTTAATAAGATCTATTTATTTACTCCTGCTCTACTTGGCACTGGATGCAGTATCTAGAGGTACACTGCAATAAGCACGTTGGTTTGATCTTATGTTTCGAGCTCATCAAGCTTCTCTTTTCCTAAGTCATCATTTTCACACCAGAGATCTCTTGAAGAATGAAGAACACCGACTTTATGCAGTCATATACTTTATTGTATATCCTTCTACTAGCGTGATCACATTCGCCTTATTGATCAGTGAGTTACTCAAGTGGACATCAATAAAATATGAGTTAAAATGTCGCGGTCGTGCACAACTGGAGCGCGGTGGAACCACTCGAGGAACGCGAAGCGCACCACAAATTTTTCTACAGCCTCTTCATTTCTAGTATTTTTGGCAATTAGGTTGCCACTAAGAGCTTAGCAGATTTTTTTCGTATTACATACCTTTTAATTCCTAGTCTCGCTTCTCGGTGGAGTTGTCGACTCGTTCGCGAAATGCACTTGACTCTGGTTTAACCTCTGTTGTAAACACTGCTCCAAACTGAGTAACATGACTCAACCACAATGAAGCTGTAAGCCACCATATGTAACTTTTTTCCTATTATCAAAATTAGCCGAAAATACGAGGAAGAACACGGTTTACTGCCTAATTGATTACTCGTCAGAAAACACAAACATATAGCTAATTCCACGAGAAGTTCTCTTTTTTGGATTCTGGATTTAAGTTATGCCTTGATCTTAAATTTTACGACCATGGCTAGCGAATAGGAAATCTTTTTCTATTTTTCTAATAAGCTATCCTTTTGTTCATTGTTTCGTCTGCTCATATCGACTAAATCAATCTAAATAACTGACTCCTGATTTCTTCCTTCTGGAAGGGTTGAATGAGCTCACGGAGAATATTCTTCGCGCATAATCAACATCGTCTATAGTTTTGTGAAAGACAGAGTATTAGAAGCAATTGTATGTAAGAGTTAAGAACAGAAATGACAAAAAAAATATAGAGAAAATCACGTAGAAGGGTAAATGTGAGAAAGAGAGGTATGGAGAAGCAGGGAAACAGGAACGGCAAAAATTAACATAGTAAAGGCTATCAAGAGCGAGAAACAACACCACGAGAAGCAAGTGATTAAAGAATGGTAAAAGATAAGCAAGTGAAAGATAGAAGATAGCAGTTAGCAAGTGAAAGCCGGCGATTGGAAAGACCAGCTGGCAAAGATGGGGAGGATAAGGAGGGTAGAAAGGTAAATGAAAGGCAAGAATGGGGAAATAGGGTGTGATAAATTAAAATACTAATACAGCGATAGGGCGTAGTTTCTGTCAATCAATGAACTGAACTGGGATATGAATGGATTTTCGAATAATTCCAGGTATGCTCCCATCTGTTGCCACATTTCTCGCGAAATGGCCAGGAAAGACGACCTCGAAAGCTGGCTTTATCAACAGGTTGGCTATAAAAATGCCTACTTATTTGGATACTGCGACGACCCGTCTTTACAGTCGGCTCCAGCACAACTTCCATTCCTTTCTATCTTGCTCAATTGTCGTCAGTGGTGTTGCTCCATTTCGAGCAAAATCATATCAACGATATCCACTCCAAATTCCTAAAAGTGTTTCCATCTGTAAATACGGATGGTTGGCCTTAGCCACAAACACGTCTCTCCATCGTCTGAGTGGGCTTCCAAGAAGAAGATTGCTTTTTCTTGGAGTCAACTTTACTCCTCTTTTTGTCCGCCTATCAATGATCTCTCTTATCATATCCTGCCCATCTGTGTTTCGTTCTTGACGTATATCCTCAAGCATCCAGAGCATGAGGTGGATTTCGAATATCGGAGCTGCGAATTGCAGCCAGACATTGTGAGTGCTAGTTAAATTTTCGACGTATTTGAAGTGTCAGCCAACATCCCCGCTGTGCAGCAGTGCGCTGAAAGAGTTGAATCGAAAATTTGAGCGCGGAGTTTTGTATCCGTCGATTGGTCGCTGGCTTCTTTGAAGAGCTCGAAGGCGACTTATGCTGCTTTCCTTCTGTATAATTGCTGATTAATGTTTATTGTTCTCCATGCTCTTCAAATGTCCAAGGTGCATGCACGAGGTAGTTTCTGTAATCAGAGAACGATCCAGTTTGATTTGTTCGTCTACCAATCATGGGTTCTTCATGAACTGGGTTTTCTTCCTGTTTGTGCGCAGACGGACCTTTGTTCCCGCTACGTTGAATTCAATGAGTACAGTTTTTGCTTCGCTTGTCTTGAAAAGACGGCGGTGTCACTCAGAAAGCATCTATCATTCTCGTTCCAATAGAACGACTACATTATTCATTGCAGTGCATCTGTGAACAGCTTTGGCGATATGGTGTCGCTTTGCCGTACACGTTATCTGTGGCAACCAACTCTAAGGAAATCGGCAGTGATTTTATCGGGCTTTAGTGCCAGTGCCCCTCTTTTTGCTTTCTATCACAATTCGAAATTCAAAGGGCAAAATCCCGGCTGTGGAGGATGTGGTGACGGTTCTTTCTTCGTTCATTGGGGTCGATATCTGAGCATTCTATCCGCAAATATTCTAACGGCCGTCACAGGTGTGTTACACTAGGATCAAGCTTCAGTCACCTTTTCTTTTCGGTCGACTCCTTTGTGGTAATGTAGGTGAGGTCCGGACTTCTTATTTGAGGAACTAAGGTGGGTTTGAAAAAGTTTTAACCCTTGGACTAGAAGAGTGTGGTCCTCGGTTGGGTCCTCGTTTATCTGCCAGTAATGTGAGGAGAAAACTTAATGAGAACGCCTCCGTCTTAAACGACTTGTCTCGTTTTTCTTGGACGATTATAGGAACTCGTTTCTGTCTGGGTTACAGCTGAATCGAATCTTCCTAATCAGAAGGCGATGATGAGATCGTATATTCAACGGAGGTGTCGAACAGGCACCATTTTTCATCCGTGACATATTCTTAATAGAGTCGATATCTTTATAAGTCACGCCGTTAGGAGACTCTCATGTCATTCGGCGTTTTTCCATCTTCTTAAAAGTCCAATTCCTATAGAACAGACGTGCTCTGAACTAGAGTCCAATTCTTCAAGCAGGTTTCCATTCTCACTTCATTCACCTGTTTCGAATCTTCCTATCCTGTATTCATTTTCGTTGGCCGTTCCTCATCTGGCGATTAAGTCTTCAACAACGAATTTATGGGTTTGTCGTTGCGGATTACTTTCTCTAATTGTCTGTGGAACGCGTCTAGTTTGCTCTAACCAGCTGTACAAGTTGGTGAGCAACATTTGATCAAACTGTCTTTCATCTGATGTGGAAGTTTGAGACGGAGAACGCTTAAGCGCTGCGTGTGGTAGGATTTTGAAAGAGGTAATTGGATAGGAAATAGAAGGCTTTGCAACATAGCCAAAGCTTTCAACACTTCGTAACGGAAATTTCCTTCTACGGTTGACAAGTTTCTTCATATAATTGGCAATGTCGTTCTTCTTGCTTTTCGTCACTTGTAGGGCAATCACATGAAGTTTGATGCAATCAGCGCCCTTAAGAAGAATCCGAAAGTCGGCAACCAATGAGGTTGTGCTGGTGTTATAAGTGTATGGCAAAAAAGTGTTCATGGCGCGTTTTGGGAGTGTTTTTTTCGCCCGTTTTCAGTGACGTCCTGCGCATGCCGAGACCTGATCGTCTGTTACTGGTTGTCTCTTCTCCTGATATCGTAGATTCAAGCGCTCTTTTTGCGGTGTGCTGAGGGCAGAGATTTCTTGGTTTGGTCAATATGGTTTCCTTATAGAGAACATTCTTCACGAATATTGGAATGTTCTCTATGCAAAACAATTCAAACCTTTTCAAACATTTCAAATGCTTCTCCCATGACCTTTTCTCCATGACGCTCTGATAGCCGTATGTCTAACATTTCGCTGGCGCCTATCTCGGAAAATATCTGCACTTACGGTCCTAGGCTTTAAATATCGCCCTATCAGGTTGCAATGCTTGAGAACTGTTCCCAGCACCCGTCTTTCCGCCTACTGTAGTCTGACTCCGCCCAGCGCAAAAGGTATATAAACAGCCCCACGCTTAGCCAGCTCATGTCACAGCAATGCTGCCCAAGTCACCGTATTCGTGCCTCACATCCATCTCATGTAGTAAAAGTCATATGCCAATCTCTTCACTCATAAGCAGCCTAAGCGTCAGTGATCAGGCTGCTTCTATTCGCTACCCGTATCATTGTTGCATTAATTGTGCAGCTGTATTGTTATGTTATAATTGTTGTATAATTATGATAAACGGTTTATTTACCCAAGTTAGAGGTAGCCGGCATTGTGGCTGCTACTCACAAGAAATCCGGCGTGGCGTACACAAACACGAGCAGCTAATTCCGATCAAATCGTTTTAACCACTTTGTATTCCTATATCAACGAGCCGTCCCAACATCCCTTGAGTCCCAAGGTTAGCTCGGCCGAAGCCTTAGCCAAAGGTGGTCGTAAGTTCTTGCGTACCAGAGAAGATTTTTCACTTTGCGACTGTTTTGATATAGGACGGCTACGACTCCTGGTATTTCTACATCTTAACTGAGCTTTTGGATAGAAACATGAAACTCCGTTTCACCCTAAGATACTCTGGTGGATGGATAAAAGCTACCCCGTATATTGCAGCCTGACACCCAAGAACATTTCCTCGTAATGATGAGCCAGTAATGCTTCGACAGGGCTATATAAGATAAAACACTCAATGTTAGAAAACGATGGAAAAATTGCATAAAATGTATAAATAAGAGAATTCAGGTCGAATTCACTTCCGGAGAGTTGCCATGGAAAGGTATTGAGGACACGGTAACTATTTGCAACGTCAAGGAGAAATCACGTACAACAGGTACGCCGCAATAAATCTGATTGTTTTTAACTCAAAAATAGAATGATATACACAGCAACGTTTTGACTTTTCCTACATTGACGATCTTGTGTATCAACTACGATCCTTTCAAGGTTTCAAGACTCTGACAGGTGTCAATACCCCTTTTTGTTCTCTCATGAGACA